TGCACTTGTTACAGAAATTGTTATGGGTGAAGTTTCTCCTGCGTTGTAGGAGCATTGAGAAATGTGTACCCGTTGCAGCTGGGACAGTTCCTTTGAAGCGGAAGCGCGACTTCTGTGGTCGCTTGCAAAGCATTTCCAGCAGACGGGTTGACCCCTCAATGCGTTTCGACGATCGATTGGGGTTCGTACTGTGCGGCAATCCTTTGTTTGGTGGTTATTCCTTTGGCAAAATAGGCACGATTCTTGCTTGGCAGTCTTTGCGCGTTGCGCTGTTTCAGCATTGATCCGTCTTGAGGTCAAGTGACGCATATCTGTTTTCAAATAGTGCTTTGGAAGAAACATGCCCGTGAAGTTCCTCTAAGAGCCTACCGACTGTTAGTTTTGAGTCGGTTGAGGATGCTTTCATACAGTCTTTTATTATATCATATGGGAATTTCGCGAGGATCGTGTCGATCCACATCGGGTCATGTTTCTTGCGGATATCATACCCAGTGGCAACCATTTGGAAAACAAGATCATTTATTTTTTCGAGAGTTTCAACACATTTTTGGGCTGCTGTGGCTGCCTTTGGTAGGTCCAACAATTGCTGTACAATTTGGGACCTGTTATTCGCTTTATCGCCGAACTTCTTTTTCAGTACTTCGACAATAAGGTTGTAATTGGAACTTCTCATTGGGATGCTTTTGATGGAATTTTGGGCTTTCCCGCGTATTGCATCTTTGAGGTATAGGATCTTTTCTAATTCACTGAGTTGCGGGTTTTGATCAATTATGAGCGAGAAAGTGTCCCAAAACTCTTCCCAGGAATCGTTCTCACCAGTGAAATGTGGCAGTTTGATTTGTGGGTACCTTATTCTCAACGCTGGAGAGAATTCGATTTGGTCTTCGTCCGATTTTCCGTCCCATTGTAGTGGTGCTGGGGCGTTCGCGGGAATGTGCGTTGGATTGCTTTGAAGTAAGCCGCACGGGTCAGCCTCTTGATAGTCGTCCTCGGTGCATGGTTGCAAACCCTCGTCGACTTGGATTGCTGAAGGTCGATTGCAGACGTGGGAGATCAATAATGGTTGCCTGGGTTTTGATTTCTCGCATTCTAGCATTAAGACCCAAGACAACGCTTTCTGCTTCATGTTTCAATGCGCGGAAATCGTATTTTTGTCTAAATTCTTCGATTTCTGCAAGCATATCCTTTTTCTCTGCTTTTGGCACGTCGCCGTAGATTTTCATTACGTTTTCATAGACATTCTGGAGCGCGTGTAGTTTATCGGTCACAGTTTCATGTGCCGTCCAGCGGTTCTGTAGCCTAAGGTGGCGCAGAATGGCTGATCGGGAATTGCCACGCGGGAGAGCTTGGATTGAAAAAGGCCGATGCACCAGAAATTTATGTCGCGGCCCTTTCTTTCTTCTCAACAAACTCAGTTGAGTAATAATTTTTATTTTATCAAACGGTTACAAGTGATAAAATGGAATTACAGTACAGACCGATCGGTTCGCTTGTCAGCGGGATCAGCCCTCGTGGACGGCGCTCCAGCTGTCGGTGAGACCCTAACTGCCGGTCCGAGCGAGGGAAAGCCACTCCCACTGACAGGCGGTGACCAAAACAAGAAGGACGTTGCGGGTGCAAGTGCATACCGCAACAGCGGTTACAGCAAAATAATGTCGATCAGGATGAAGTCGAAGACGCTAAGTAGCGCGAAATCAAAGGAAACTGCCAGAAGCTTGTGGAAATGAGGCTCGTTCACTTTGATCATGAGCGTGAGAGCTGGAGACTAACAGCGACCGTTTTGTGAATGTTCGAGCATACGATAAGATGAGCACCAGATGCTCCATATGCTTGATATGTGGAGTGTTCGCGATAAATCTAATAGGAAAGATGCATAGTGGATTGGGTGGGGGATTATTCAGTGGAGCGAGCTGATACTTCTATTTTTCAGTGACGTTTCAGTGACAATTTTTCAATCCTCGCATTTTTCATCGCTTTATCGCGTTATGAGACATTAGAAACGAACTCTTCAGTTCCCATAGCACTACTATGATCTTTATTTCAAACGTGGAAAGGGTGGCAAGGGCAATTAATTGATAATGATGATTTATTTATT